AGGTGCTCAGGGACATGGTTAGTGGGGGCTGGGCAGTGCTGGGGTAACGGTTGGACTGGGTGGTCTTAAAGGTCTTTTTCAAACCAAATAATCCTGTGAAGTTTCCTCTGCAGAAAATGAACAGTCAGAAGTGGGGGGTCTGCACAGAATTCATTGGTACCCATTATGCTCACCTGATAATGATGGAAATACTCTGCTAGAGCAACACGGGAATAATTCTAATACTGCATTCAAAAGCCGTCTGGTTTTTGGACAAATGAAAATATTAGGTTCCAAAACACTTCTCCCTAACATAACTCTAATCTCTTTGAAAGTTTTAGAGGAAGTAATGGTACAAGCCAAGTTCAAAAACGAGTTTTGCCTCCATCCAAAACTGAATCACATTTATACTGTGCAATTTCTGAAAACTCCAATAAACCAAAACTAAATACCTGAGACAAGCTGGGAACGGTGAAATCCAGGAGGCCCAGGCCATTGCATGAATACATTTCTAGGCCCACAAGAATTCTTGCCACAGGATTTTGTCCTTCATGGTTATTCTAGGCAGAAATTAAAAATGCACATTAACAAACTGGGCTTTTTGCAAGCAAACATCATTAAGGACATTAATTGAGATGACAAGCTCATAGTAATGATGTTTGAAAAGTTCAATTTGCATTAAGCAAGTCTCCTGCTCTTTGTGGTGTCCTTAAAATAGGGGATTTTACGGATTGATTTCCTTCTATTACCATTCTGAACTACTACAGTTAAACATTATAAAACATAGCAGCAACACAACAAAGGTAAACTCTATCTATCACCGAGGGATTCTGGTGCAATAGACATCATAAAATAGGAGGATAGCAATAAAAAATGTCCAGCTTGCTAGGTTCACATTCCGTGCAGAAAGAGACCACAGGAAATGCTGATAGAAAAATGTACTGTATTTATGAAACTTTGAATGTAGCCACTTCATTATTTTAAATGTGTGATTTCAAACCCAGCTTTGGTACAGCCATCACGTGCCAAACATCCCCAGAATTGTTCTTGGCAGCTAGAAACAGCAGGGGGAGTTACCAAGTGCCAATGTGAGGAATTTGCTGGGTTGTGTAAAGGTTTATAGGAACTACAGACGTGTTTGGACACTATTCAAATATAGGGATGAAAATGCTCACTGATCATCTCAGTCATCATTAAATGAAGTCCTGAATTTCGTTTTAACTGTTCAACAAAGAGTTTCAACACCATACAGGATTGCAGAGAACTCATACCTCCTCCTCAGCCCCCAGTTGGTGTTCGATCTGCTGCCCATTTAACTGTTTCGCTTTCACCCACGTAGCGATGATCTGCTGCCGCGCAGCAACAGGCACCACTTCACTGGGGGGAGCTCCAGTGGGCACGTTCAGGGCAAATTCACAAATCTGAAGAGCAGGAATTAAAAAAGAGTGAAACGCAGGAGAAAGGCGGGAAGCTCTTGGCATGGCACACACGGTCCATTGTTACTGTAACATCACTGCCCCTGCATTTCCACGCCTGACAACATCGCCAGGAACCCACTCCCCAGAGCCAAGGCACGGCACTCGCCCAGCCGGGGAGGGATGGCAGTGAGCATTCGGGGGGCCCTGGGCTGACGGGAACTGTAAAAGATGGCAGCAGCTTATTTCCTGCAAAACCCCCTGGCTTAATTGATATGATGGTAGTCTATGACAGCAGACCACAAAGGGCTACAAAATGAGGGCTTTGTACCTCTAGGGCAGCCCTGACATCAGGAAGTCCCCTGGGATCTACTGAAGACGACTGGATGACGTTTGCTTTTTCGTGCTTCTTGGCCGCAGCTTTTCTGCCTCTGCCTGTTGCTGCATCTGTTTCGTCCTTCGCAGCAAGCTCTGGCTTTGGAATCCAACACAGGATTAAGCCCCGGGCCAAAGCATTACACAACATAAAGAGAACTGCCGTGCTTCTGCAGGAGAGAGCAGAGCGAAAGCGCATTCTGTGCATCAAAATGAGAGGAAGTAACAAAGGCAGTAAACATTCCTTGCAAACCTAGATTTATCTTAGAAAGCAAAATGATGGATGTTACAAAAAATTTTCCTGGGGGAAAAGCAGTTAAATGGTTAAATGTACAAAAACCCACAACCAACTTTTGTGTCTCACATCCTATTTTGTCAGCTCTTCCTATCACTGAAGTTATTTCCTCACAAAAAAAAAAAATCATATTTATATCAGGCACATTTAAAAACTGATTTTTTCATCAGTGGGCTACTATGCATGAAAATAACAACTATTTCCTAAAAAATTAAACTAGGCCAAACCCCTCACATAAAGCTATTCATTTATTACACCGTGTTACTCCTCACACCCACCAACCACTAACCTGGAATTCACCTTTTTTTAGAAACCACAACCAGCGTGATGCCCAAGGGATTACTGCTGACACCAGCCCATGGAAGTACCAGACTCCACAAGGTCCTTCCGCCTTTCTTCCCCACTCCCGTTACAGCAGCTCTCTCTGCTGCTCCTCCCAACACTCTGTCCGGTGCCGAGGTCACCGGCAGTAATGGGTGAGATTCCTGGGATTTGGCCCCCCACTAGGCTTTCCCCTGAGCATCTCCTCTGTCACAGCCACTCACCCCCCACCGCATTTCCTACAGACAGGATTTCTCGAAAGCACCGTGGAGTTGTGTCCCATTGGCACTGGGTGCACAACCCCTTCATGGTTTTTTCCTCTTGGATTTCGGAACCACTAGTAACCACCTCACTCTGGTCAGAAACATTTAGAGTGAACTGTATTTACAGCACAGGCCCACGCCAGAGCAGCTGACCGCCAGCACAGTCCAAGCTGTGCTGCAAATGGACAGCCAGGGAACGTCCCTGATCCTGCTGACTGGCCTAACAAAGTGTTATCGCACATGTTGCTGTTCCACAGTGAAGAGAAATTCTTATGGCTTGGTCTGGAGCTAACATGGCCTGTAGTGAACAGTAACAAAGAACAAACGGAAAAGATTACAGGAATTTTCACACTGCCAGATTCAACTTATCTTCTGACTGCCTGTATATACCAGAGACCTTCTCCCACCGCTAACAGCCAGCAGTAAGATTTTCACAGGAGAAAGTGATTCACAAAGTTTAAAACATATTTCCTGGTTTAGAAGAAAAGAGCATGTTCCTAAGCAAGCATCCGCATTTACCCGTTGTACCCAACGGTCCTGATGGCTCCAAGAAGAGTCTGTAGACACTCAATGATCTCCCTCTGCCTTCCCGAAGAGATAAGGTGTCTGTTGTAGTTCAAGACGCACACCACAGCATTGTGAACAATCCAGGCTTCATTCAGTTCTTTTCCTATTTCGGCTGCACGCTGGAAGTTGTCCATAGCATACCGAGATAAGCAGTCTATCCACAGACTACAAAATTAGGGTAAAGAAGCTGTTATTTCAAAAATTCAGCACTAGAAGGAATTACATCATAAGGTTAAATATGCAGCAGAATATCTCCATCAACAACAACAAGTTGGTATTTACTCCTCGGTTGCATTTACTACGTCTTCACCCATTAACAGACATTTACGTGGCTGAGATGACGACTCAGGAAAGGAAACAGCATCAGTGCAGAATGGATAGCCTCTGGCACTGGAACCCTATGAGCTTAAAAACAGTGGCTGTAGGTCCTGCTTCATCCACGTGGTTCTTCCAAATGCACGTGTGAACCCTCACACCACTCCAAACCGTTACATACCCATGACAGGGCCGTACCCGCAGCCAGAGCAGGTAACGCACTCCAGTGCCAAGGAGGCACCTCGCTAACCTAACGACGACACACGCTCTCGCCCTCGGACATTCCCAGATGTTCTCAAGTGCCAAAGCAGTTCCTAACAGAACAACACCTTTCCATAGTCTATTTAATAACTTTCAATGACTTCCTTTCTTTTCTGGTTTCTTTAGTTTACTATCAAGATGTACTGTTACTTAGAAAAAGCAGCGCTGAACGCAGAATGACCGCTCAGAAGGGCCGTGGTTAAGGCACACAGCCCAAAGCACAGGCTGGTACAGGCTGGTACTGTGTCAACAAGGGTGCAGGACACACCAGACCCAAGTGCTGTTTTCCCATGAGTTTGAAATCTAAGTGGATAAGCTGCAAAGCCACTTAGTAGGCAATTTTGGAACAGAATCCGCATTGTCTTTGTCCCTGGGTTCTGCACGGGTTATACTTTTTCCCGTTTTAATGAACATTTGCAAGCAGACAGTGTGAGAAACATCACTGAACCTGCAGACCTGGGGACAGAACTCTGGCATCCGACTCCCTCAGGATATGACCAGTGCCACAGTAAGGCTGAGGTCAGGCATGTGAACAGAAGGGACTTTGAACACCACCTTCTCCTTGGCGAGAAATAATGCAGGATCAGAAAAGCTGGTACTCGCTATGTTCTGTTCCCACTCCTCTACGGTGACTGGCTGGAACAGGCTCGTTTGCACAGTGAAGCAGTTTGCTCTGGTATTCAGGTACTCACACTCCAGAGTTATCTGAGCTCTACAGGAGACAGGTTTCTTCTGCTTTGGGGAAATACCTCTTTAAATATAGATTTTCAGGGTCTAAATGTCAATAACACAGATTTAATAGTTTTTAAGGTTGGGATAGTAGCTTCTCATTTCAGAGACATAAACATTAAGTGAAAGATACAACACACTCTCCAGAACGACTGAAAACTAAAAAAAAATAATTCCAAACGATGTGTTCAGATTCCGTTCCCATCCCCTGGCTCCCTGCGAACATGAACTGTCTGGTGACAATGAGTTTTAGTAAGAAGAAATAACTTTTGCAATTGTCATCTGTGTGTGACAATAACACCCTGTTGGAGTTCCCTGGTCCTGTGATACATTAAAGGAAAGCACCTGTATGTTTTCCACTCTGGATCACTTTCAGGAAGATGTGAAACATATCCTGGGCGAGAGTGGCTTGTCTCTTCGGGAGGGACCGCACGATCGTTCAGCTCAATTCCCTGCAATCTTAACAGATGCACAGTTGCCTGGAAGGATCACAGAATCACAGACGGTTTGGGTGGGAAGGAAATTCAAAGTCCGCCCAGTCCCACCCCCTGCCATGGGCAGGGACACCTTCCATAGCCCAGGGTGCTCCCAGCCTCATCCAGCCTTGGGCACTCCCAGGGATGGGGCATCCACAGCTTCTCTGGGCAACCTGTCCCAGTGCTCCCCACCCTCTGCGGGAAGAATTCCTTCCTCATCTCCCATCTCAATCTCCCTCTTTCTGGTTAAACCCGTTACCCCTTGTCCTGTCACTCCCTGCCCTTGGAAAAAGTCCCCCTGGGCTCACTCACCTCAAAACTTATATACTGAGCATGAAGCCTTATGGCATGACATGCCCCTTCGGCCAGTTGGGGTCAGCTGTCCTGGCTGTGTCCCCTCCCAGCTCTTTGTAGAGGAGAGACTGGGATCACAGGGGCAGTGTGAGAAACTGAGAAAGTCCTTGGCTTAATGTACACATTGTTTGGCAACAACTAAGCCCAGGAGTATGTTGTCAATGTTCTTCTCAGCACAAACCCAGAACACAGCTTCATACTGGCTACTGTGAGGAAAATTAACTCTGCCCCAACCAAAACCTGCACATCATCACCTGCAGTGACAAACCCCCGCTGCTACAGTTGGTTTCACACAGTATCTTGATACAGATACTTCATGAAACTACTTTCCTTGGCTCTTGTGGAAACAGACAATAATTAAACTCAAGCTTCCATTGCTTTGAGATTTAGACATGAACTTGCACATCAGACCTCGCTGGATGACACCAACAGGAATGGCAGCTGTCTACTGGGATTTACCTCTGCACTTATGAGCCTGATTTCTGCTAATGTTCTCAGTAAGTGTCTTTCAAAAGAGAAGGATTTAGCAGGCAGCGATGATTCCCCTGGTAAGCTGTCACCTCGATCAGCATCCATCACAGCTGTACTGCCTTTATTCGCCTGTGCTATAAAGCAATCCGTCCAGCCATTGTTATTACCATGTAAATCAGAAATAAAAAATCACTTTCATTTTAAAATTTCAAAGTTCCTACAGGTTCGGAAATCCACAAGGCAGGTAACAAGTACCGATCTGTAATTATTTCACTCCGTTATTGTTTTCCATCATACAATTTCTTGCCCTGAAAAGCTGTCCTTCCCAGGGAGTGCCGAGGGGTTGGTTACCTGGGATTCTGCTGCATTTGCGCAGAAACTTCAATACTTGGAGCACATAACTTGCTCCAGACACAACAAGCATACTGACATCACAAGTGCAGATGAAACCCGTGGCCTCCAGTGCAACTGTCCTGTGGCAGCGGGAGTGGAGTGCTGGCCACCGGGGCATGGCTACAATCGCAGTGCTTAAATCACAGACACTGACTTCCTGGCACCACACGGAGCAATGAAGAAAAAGATAACATTCTTCTTCTTTGGTTTAGTAAGGGAGAGAAAGAACCCAGATTATTTCAATGCAGCACAAGGCAAGAGCTGCAACAGGGGGTCCCTCTACGCTGTTGGCCAGCAGCGGGTCTGAGGAAAGGTGGAAGTAGGACACTTAAAGCTACTTCTTTTCCTGGCCTATCTTCCCAGGTTCCCAGCATCTGCGTCCACCAGGATGTGCACTAGAATCGCCTCCATTCTTAAAGCTGAGGTTTACAAACTCCCAAGCAGAGTGTAATGAAGGGAATAAAGGGTAAACCATGTTACCATGTGAGCCTCACACAAAGGGACCGATAAGCCCTTTTTCCTCAGGCAGTTCAGTACGGCAGAGCTGCGCAAGCCGGAACTAGGTGACACAGGGAATGAACCTGCTTCCTCAGGCAGGTACATCTCGTGTCAGTAGGTTCCTTTAGCACTGCTGAAATGCTCCTGAAGCCAAAGGGTGGTTTCAACAGCAAAATGTATTGACAGATTTCCAGCTTTGGAGGTAGAAAGAATATTCCATGTGTGCCAACATGTAGTGACAGGCAAGAGTCTCAGGGAACTTTGGGAAGGGGAGGGAAGAAAAGAATAATATTTGCTGACTCCTTGAAGTAACTCTAACAAATGAGGAACAAGTTCCTCTTACAACATTGAAAACAATCTCCTCACTTACCTCGTCTGGGGTTTGTTACCCTCCTAAACAAATTATCGTCGTAGCAGAGACAGAACCTGCAGGCTGCGCGGCAGACGTCCCATACCTCCTGTGCTCGGGCAACTTTTGCCAAATCTGCCCAAAGCATAATTCTACCAAAGAGAAAGCACATGGAAAGTTACTTCATAAGCAGGATCTTCCGTGCTGCAGGATCACCAAAAAGATCATGTCAATAATGATGGACATCCTAAACGAGATTCTAAACCTAATAAAAATTAATAAATGGAAGAATTCTCAGCAGCAGCAAAGACAACAGTGCTGCTTTATTAACTGAAAACACATCTCCTCGGCATATCACGAGTGGGACAAAACTCTTGGTTGGGATAGTAACTACACCGGAATTTCAAAATGTGTGTGACACCCCTAATTATCTGTGTTATAAACTAAACTAAAGATTTCAAAATGAGTGTTGAGGATTTCAAAATGAATGTTGAGAATTTCAAAATAAGCTTTGAAAACAGTTTGGATTTAGCATTTTTTTAGAAAACAAGTTAAACTTCATCACAGGAATTTCTGGTCCAGCAAAACAAGAAAACTCCTCTGTTTCAATAAAGAATGATAAAATGATACACAAATAGTCAAGAGAGATGGACCCTTCCAACTCTCAGAATGGACGACCTCGTTTGTCGACAAAGCGGTCGCATGAGAGGTGGTACAGGGACCTAAAAAGAGACTTCAACCATTTCAACTGAGCATCAGCTTATTCAGCCTCCCAACCTTATCCGCTCGTCCCTCCGTGTTCAGTTCACACACGGAAAAGGCGAGTTTGTGTGCGCATGAGCACGGAGCAGGAGCAGCATGAGGTCACAGCCACGCACAGCCTCAGTGTAACGCCCTGCCCAGAGTTACGCAGCACGAGGTCACAGCCACGCACGGCCTGAGCGTAACGCCGTGCTGAGTTAAGCTCGTGCCCAAATGCCGTGCCAGCTCTGACCAGGCCATCAGTGTCCTACAGGCTGTCACCGAGTAACTTCACAGCTCCCATACGAGGTTTCCCATTAGAGATTTCCACGCAAGACAAGAGATGCTGCTTTGCCCACAGGAATTACCTTTCTCGGTTGTTTTCATTTTGTAAGAGTTTCAAATGTTCATCAACTTTCTCCACGCTTTTGGTATGATGTTGGGCTCCTGCACAGAGGCAGCTGATTTCACTCCTACTTTTACCTGCAGCAACTTTGCACAGAAAAGAATGAAAGGTAATTTTTAAGTATTAGAGATGAGAAAATCCATGTGAAGTCTCTGCAATTTGATCCGTAATTACGGTCTGAAACACTGAACTCCAGCTCTTTTTGCAGTCCTCCCAGCTTTCCCCAAACCAACCAACATGAGAAACCCACCCCCCAGAGCATCTGTCCTCTTGCTCCTGCACCTGCAGGTACAGCTTTCCCATACGAAGAGGCAATACGCTGGTTCGGCTTGCGTGTGGCTACAGCACCCTTGCCTTCCGGCGGGACAGGATCGCTCTAATCAGCCTCAGCAAGAGCACACGCATGAAGCGGTATGTGAAGGTCTCTCGTGCTGAATTCTAACACTTACCCAGACAAACATTTTCAATCAACACTAAGGTTTGTTCTTTTCGTTTAATTCGGGAATAGTGACTGGGTTTACCACTCAGCAAGACACTGGGCAAAACTACTACACAGAGAAACAACCAACACAAAGTTACACAAGAGAGGAACAAGCTGGGCCTGCAGTAGAAGGTTACTCCAGCGGTACAGACACAGCAAAAGGTCGTTCTTTGCAGTGTCATGGCAGAGAGGAGCAGCTCCACGCTAGTGCAAAAATAACCTGATGGGACTGGGCAAGCCAGGAAGTTTGCACACTCCCCTGACTGCACGCGATGGCCCCTGTCGGAATGTGGGCTGGGGAAGTGTTCATTTCACCTCAAACTGCCCAACAGCGGCAGCAAATCCAGTATTTTGGCTCTCAGTGTACACGGAAGCAGGCTTACGCCCAGTCACTGTCAGGGAAGGGGGGAAGGCACAGAGCCTTGGCATTCTCGGTGAGCAAGCGGCACAGGATGAGGCCCCACTACCCAACTACACAGGGACCAACCGGCCAGAACGGCCTAACGTGACACGTACCGACGGGGTGTCAAAGGCAGCAGAGCAGAGCCGGGGATTAAAGGCACCGTGCTCTCTGGGTACAGCTCTCACTAGTGAGGCCAGCACATTCATCCAGAAAGAATGAAATGCTGGTGCCCAGTTATCTACACACATGAGAGGAAAACATAATCCCCCAGTGCGACGCCCTGTCCCACCTGTGTTTAACAGCACAGCTGTGTGCACATTTCCTTACTCCTTCAATAAACGCGGGCAACTTGTAAGGCTGAGCGTCACGGAAGAAGCGAAGCACTCTGTGCTGGATTCAGCCAGGAAAGAGTTAAATCTCTTTACCGTGGCTGCTAGGAAGCTGTGTTCCTGCATGCAGAGAGCAGCACTGATAAGTTCTTAGCTGGTGCTGGGCAATGCCTGCACCAGTTTCAAGGTCTTTCTCTGCTTCTGATACTGCAGCTGCGTTCCCAGCTCTCGCGGTCTCGCTACAGACAGTGCTGGGACACACAGTTCAGGCACCTGACCCAAACTGACCAAAGAAGTATTTCATGCCATAGTACATCATGCTCAGGGCAGAGGCCAGGAGGGGAGGGGGATTTGTGAGAGCGGCTTCGTGGTATTTTGCTAGCCGGAGTTAAACCATGACACACTCCCTCTTTAATGACAGCCTTGGGACAACTTCCAAACCAGAACTGTACAAACGTGTCGAACAGAGAAAGTACTATACCAGCTGTAAGGTCATGATATTCCCACTCCCTTCGACGGCATCTCTAGGAAGGCTAGTGGGGAGTAGGATTCATTTGGAGGAATTTGGGATATCATTTTACAGCTGTCAACTCAAAATTAAAGAGCAAGCAGAGGTCCTCGCATGTTTCTAACTGCCTCATTGCACAAATACAATGCCGTTGTGGTTAAACCCAGCACAAATGTCTTTTATCACCTTCAACAATGTATGAAAATGTTTTCCAAGAACACCATTTTCACATACTGTAACGTCCTGCACAAAGGGAGTGGCTGGTGCTGTAAACAACGCTCATAAGGCTTCAGTTGATGGAGGCTGAAATGAGAATGTGCAAGGGAAGCTCTCTGGCCTGGCTGCAGAGAAGGCATGTGACTGCACGGCCTCCCACAGTACGGACAGGCTGCCTGGGAGGCTACAGGGCACCTCTTGTAGAATTCCCTTCCTCCATCACCTCTGCCCTGGGAATACCCTGAAGGTACTCAGAACATTACTTAAGTTAGACACACACTTGCTTTATCGCCAAATAAGACAAACCAGTACAAGGAATCTGGTGCTTGTGTTCCCTGTCCACTCCTTCACAGCAGCAGTACAGTCCCAGCCCGAAGCCGTCTGCAGCACGAGGAACTTGCCCATTTACAATCCGTGACTCAGAACGTAAAGAATTCCTACTTAAATCTCTGTACAAAATTCAATCTCTCAAAAGCCAGGTTTTAGAACAGAAAGGCAATTACAATATAGAACAAAAGTGCAATATTGTATGTACTTAACACAGAATATTATGGGGTGAAACTTCTGAAAGCATCACTGCAAACTGGCGCTGGGTGAGAGCCTCCAGGAGCTGCACAGGGTGACAACAGCACCACAGCACAGCTCACAGCCCACTACAGCACATCAGCAAATTCAGATGAATTCAGAGGGGAAAACACCACCTCCTCTGCCCACGTGACCGTATAAATCGGGGATCCCTAATCAAATCGATAGGAGCTTTGCCACAGAATCCAGCAAACTGTCCCTTCACTGCTTAGCAGCAGCCTCTACCTGTTGCCACCGGATGCTACAGCCACCATCAGGCCTGTGCAAAGCAGCCAAAGGAAAGCGTACTGGCGTTTAGCCACCAGGATGCACGTTACCTTTCAATTCTTTTTCACTGTCAAGGACCGTTTGAAAGGAATCAGGAGCCAGTGCACGACCTGCATTGACCAGAAGGGACCGCTTTTTCCTCACATCGCCCTTCTGCTCCCCCCTTTTAGCCTACATAAAGAAAAGAACTACCTGTTAGAAGGTTCCTTGTTATTATATTCCTGTTTGTATTTCTTATTTACCGGACATAACAGAATGCAGGTCACAGAACTTGGTACTACCAAAAAATACCTCCAGGAATTGTGTATCTCACACACCCTTCTACAGGACTATTGGTTTTGGAAGTGGCTGTAGAACTGGGGTTGCTCCTGCCATGAACACACCAAAGGAAACACAATACAAAGGCCTGTTCATGCTCGCCGTGGATTTCTCTGTACATCCCTCAGTGTATAACCTGTCACTGTGTTAGGCTTTCCTAAATAAAGAGCAGTAGTTATCTAGAAACCAAACCAAAACCAACATGTCCCTTGTGCAATAACTAGGAATTGCTACAAAACAGAAAAAAACCCCAGTGCACTCAGAATTAGCCAAAATCAGGGGAGGTGCAAGGGCTTTGTTTAACATTTAACCAGGATAAGCCTGCATGGAGCTGCATGAACACCAGGCAAAAACATCTTCACCTTCCTTGTCTTAACAACAGATACACCACATCACCAGCAGCTCTCCAGCACCGGTTTTAAGTTCAGCCAACACATCTTAATCTCCGAAACTACCCCCACGTGGTGCACAGCTGAAATTTCTTTGGCCAACTAACCATCAGCTGCCAACATGATCTTTGTTCAGGTGCTGAGGCACCGCAATCGAGTTAGATGGAGTGACTCTGAACAATGACTACAGTGTGACTTGAGATGATGTTACTCGGCTTATCTCTAAGTGTGACATGGTACCGGTTTCCCTCAAAGCCAGCTGAGCCCAGGATGCGGAGCTCTGGCCACCGCGCCCCTCGTTAATACAGCACTGGTCCATGCAATGACATCTGAACTGTTGACAATTATGAGTAGGCTTCATTTTTGATACTATTTTTGCTAATAACATCCCCTGTCTCCGCAAGAAATAAGCTTTGAACCGGAAAAAAACTTCTATCACATCTTTGGAGTGGGAAGCAGTGCGACAACGCAGAGGGAATTTGGAGTTTCTCAAGCCAACCAGCCAACGCCAGTTTGCTGCAAGCAGGCTGCTGCTGGCCCCCGAACACGCAGCGCTACCAGCCAGCCACTGCCCCAATGCAGCACTCAGCGAGCCCAACGACTGCAGCTCTCGCCTCTGCTCACCTGTTTCAGCAGCACCACTGCCCGGTCCTCCAGACGCTCGGGCGATGGACACAGCACAGCACGCAGATGGTTCAAAGTCAATCTCAGATGCTCCTGGCACTGCCCGCTGCTGCTCAGACGTGCAGCCTTCCGCACGTGCTCCACAGCAGCCTCCATTCGGTCCCCATCCTCCTCGACACGAGCTAGCTCCACATGAACTTGGCAACGCAGCAAAACCAACATGCTAAGGAATACGGGTTTAAACATAAACTGTTAGAATGAGGCAAACCAAAATTGTTAGACCTAAATTACCCCAAAGTGGAATGCAGTAAGTGACTCCAGCATGGAAACAGGTATTCGCCTTTGACTTACTTGGCGCTTTCAGCTTCACGGTCGTGCCTTTTTAGTGAAGTTACTTAGAAAGTGTAACTGCACTTTACTTCCCTTAACCCATGAGAATCAGGGCCATGAGGAAGCAGCACACCCTGTGCACTAATGCCATGGTTTACCTGAGCTTTTTCGCATTAGCAGGACTCTTGCAGTACCACACGGATGCTAACCGGGGCATGCAGGTCAAGTGAACGGACCACAGAAGTATTTATGAGCTCCCAGAGAGAGCCTGAGGCACCACTAATGGCCACTTCTGGTAAAGCTCACTCTCTGGTCGTAACTCGTAGGTAGAAGCTGACACTCCTGAGGACCCGGCCCCGAGCGCAGGAGCTCACCACTGTGAAGATCTGCCTCCCTGTGTGCGGGCACATCACCGTGGGCAGTCTGTGCCCAAACCTGCCGAAAGCGCTCGACAGAGTCAGCGTGTTCCCTGCGAGGACCGCAGGGTCTCCAGGCTTGGGTACACTCTGCTCCCCACCCCTCGCCTGCCCCGGGAAGCTGCTCGTGAGTGTGAGCGCTGGGAGCTACCTTACACAACTTCCAGGAAGAAAGGCAAAAGGAAATCAGATAAATAAAAGCCATGCTGGGAAACCAAAACAGAAGGAACGTTCCAAGGCTATCAAACGTCAGGCCGGAGACCTGAGTGAGCAAGTAGTGCCGTTCCCTGCTGACCAAAGTAGGTACAATCAATGCTACATCAAAGCACAGATGAAGAGAGGCACATGAACAGGGACAAGTGGCTTCATTCAACCCCTAGTGACAGTGCCACCGTGGAGCTGGGGTTGGGTCTACTGGACTGTTAGGAATATACGGAGAGCAAAAGCCAAGACCTGACCCGCCACCTTGCATAGAGAAACGCTCACCACCGACATTCAGCATGAACACCAGACACGGACTGATCCTGCACTTTACAGGGAGAGCTGAGTAACAGTATAGTAATACAGCGTAGTGCTTTTACACGTGTGTGTATCTGTGAGAGCGGCTTCATGGTATTTTGCTAGCCAGAGTAAAACCACGACCCTTCTTCAGGCTCCTCTTTCCTTTTTATGCAACTGAAAACCGGCATTTCAAAACCACTGAAAATCCATTCCTCACCTTTCTCTAATACTTTTCTAAGAAACCATCGACTGCTCTGCTCAAGCGAGTCTGTCAAACGCACCTCGCTCTACTACAGGAGTTGTGCCCCTTGCTCTCAGCAGCCAGCCTACATGTAGGTCCACACTTCACCGAGTACCACACACCAAGGTTTACGTCGGCCGTGATGCTTTTTAAAAGCGATTTTTAACTGTATGTTTTGAACTGACAAAAGTGACGTTATTACAAGACTCTCAGCCCATTCCAACACAGTTACTCGTGCTGCAGCTGTGGAATCTTCTCACATAACTTTGATTAACTGCAGCATTTTTCAGTTCCTGACAAGTTTCAGTATTTGCTCCAGGCCACTAACAGGGTGGGATTTGCCTGAAAGGAGCCTCTATTTACATGATTAACGAGGCGATGTCCGCAACACACTGACGTGTATTTATTACAGGCTAGTGGAAGATTTCAAAGCCATGTAACATCACAGAGCTTGAGCTTTTCAACACATTTGATGCCCCATCACCAGACCTTTCCAAGTACCAACCAGCAACAGAGACAGCACAGTCACCTGTCAATCTCCTCAAGGGCATCAGCCATGGCTGCCAGGGGCTTCCGCACACACTGATGCAAACTGTGTTGGAGCAGTGGGAAGCACACGTTCCACAAGGTTGTGCACACAACCTGAATCACATCTGGATCTCCCAGCTGAACAATACCTCAAGGCTTGTTACCAGTTCCAGCTGAGCCTACAGAAATGAGAAACTCATTAGCATATATTGCATTTTATGAATACAGCTCCTTAGAGGTTCCTCCAAATGTTACTCTAAGGGTTGTTCCCAGCAGAAAGCAGCCCCTCCGTCAGCAGACTCCACAAATTTCTTGTGGTTTTTAAATAATTTCTTTAATAGATGCTTTTTTCCCCAACAGACATTGGTCCCTAAGGAGTGTTTCTTTGTGGTACTCTACACTGCTACTACGCATTTTGGGCAGAACTCTGACAGCTATTCCCCTTCCTTATGATAAAGAGAAATTGATAACTGAGAGCTATTTGTGCATCCAGGAGGCTTAGCCTCTTTTGATTTTATATTAAGTTACAAACACGAGGTAGGAGAGGAAAAAAAGAGCTATGACGAATGGGATTTGCGATACTGACAATTAAAGTTGGTCCCTATTAAACAGGAAGCAAATCCTTACCTACACTAACTGGGACGTGATAATTATTAAATTCTCTTTGGTGGTTGTGCAATTAAAAACAAATCAAATTAAAAACTCGCCAAGTGCAGACACTGCAGTAGGAATATTCAGAAATATCTAAATACCCAACCACCCTGGTTTGTAGTTAAGCACTATTTATAGTCTTTCACATGATGAGGAATTGATGATTTTTTTTCCCCACAAGGAGAATGGCATTTCTGAATCCTCAGCTGAGAACAGCCTCAGGCAGGAGGAGGTTTACGCACTGACGCTCGCCACAGCCACAGGGCAGATTTGTACTTGCCACGTCAGGTACCTGAGGTGTCTCTAACAGCTGTTCAAGCTGCTCACTGCTGGCACCCATCGAGTCCCGTCAAGAATACTGACAATTTAGGCTCCTCCTTTTGCCAGTGGGAATTACGAGTGAGTCAATTGACTACAGAAATCTACGCAACTCCTCCCCAGCGTGACCACTCCTCAGGAACAAGCTGCATTTTTGACGTACAGATCTGTACGAGGTCGTCCGTAACGTGCAATAATAGTCAAGTTGGACTGGTTGATCCTTATGGGTCCCTTCCAACTGGAGATATTCCATGCCACCTCCCTATTCTCCATTCCTACTCTATTCTAACCCCTCCCTAAAACGTAAAATAGGAAAACAGGTAGGTGTTGCCTTTGCACACTTCCAGGCTACTGTCCTTACTCTGGGAAAGCAATGTGTTATCGGCCCTCAGAAGGCAGACAGTACTGGAGGGAGGAGAATTCCACTGCTGTTCATTTTTCCCTGTTTGCTTCCTGGCAGCCCAATCAGAAAGAACGTCAAGTTTAGAAGAATTTCTGATCAGTATCATGTAATTAAGACACACAAGTCCAATGCAACTTTCCACGTTTAACTAATTACAACAGTAACTTGTCTCTAAATGCTGAAGCACCTACCTCAGCAACTCCTTTGGTGTAGATCACGTTAGTGCCAAGTTTCTTAACTTCATACTCACGTTCCAGGCATTCTATTTCTATGAGTTTCCCTTGCTCCTATGAAGTGTGAATATACAAAACGCTAATTTTAGTAATAAGGAAGGAACACAATGAAGATTAAACCTATGCAGTTGCCCTAACATGGCACCGTCCTCTTAGTGAAACCCCCTCTGTGCTAGCTCAGAACGGAAGCAGTACGAGGCAGCAGCGGTCACTGCCTGGACAGCAGTTAACCACCACTTCCTCAGCCGAGGCTGCAAAGGAACTTCGGGATTTTCAGGGCTTTCACTGACAGACTCTGCAGTAAGAAACCAGCGCACCCTTGACTCTTCCTGCACTGCAGTCCGAGTCCAGTTCTGGCAGACTCTTGCTCACTAGTAGTATTAAAAATGTACATGCTTGGAATCCCCCAGAGCTAGTCTCGCAGAAGGGATTCATCACCTTTTGAGTGAAAAAAGGTTAGATTTTTAACACACCAGGAAAGATCTGGCTATTGAATCATACCAACTGTTTGTACAGATCATCTGAGCTACTTTGTGTTTGGTTTCATGAGGTGCAGTAGGGAGAGCCAGACAGCATCTCCACTCATGGTTCGTCAAGAACCATCACCAGATCACTCAGCGTGACCTTCGTTCGTTCAACAGCTGGGAAACAGATGAGAGCTTGGAAAAATGAGATGAACGTAGAACTGCCACTGTCATGTAAGGACCAATACATACGGGGCTGGAACGCGTGTTACAGCTGAGCAATTGGCCAGCATTTGGCAAGAGGCAGGGAAGCGGCACTCGGTGCAGCCTCCCCTCACTGCCCCGAAAGGTCAGTGCCCAACAGCAGGCAGCCCGCATCCGCCCACCTGAGGGGAGACACGGAAACAGAAGCAAGGTTCCGCTGCTGCCCCGCAGAAGGGGCATGGGCTACTACGGCCCATACAGGTGCTGGGGTGAAACCCTCGGGCATCTTTCACCTGGGGGATCTGAAGCACTCCCAGTGCCGTGCTGCAGCCCTGAGGAGGGTTTTACATTTGCAGGGAATCTTCCGAGAAAATGGGCCTGAAGCAGACACCGAGGATAAAAACAGTCAGCGAGGGGAAGTAAAACGCACGCTGCAAGCAACTCAGAGTGGGGCCGTTGTGAGAAATCTGGAAATACTTTCTGAAACCTGTTTGGCAGCTTTTGCCACTCGTTTCCTTACATGCGCATTTCGGATTGCTGAGAACCTGCTCGTCACCACAACCGGGCACTTTTCACATGTGAAAAGATCTTCTTCTCTTGGGTCTTATTTTCCTCTGTTCTTTTTTCTCCTCTTGTCCTAACTATTATTATTGTTGTTATTATTATTTCTTTTTAATTATTAAACTGGTTTTATCTCAGCCCACGAGTTTTCTCACTTTTACCCTTCCAACTCTCCTAATCCTCCCCATACCCCACCTTCTGCCCTTACACCTCTCTGGTTCAGGAACAGACCGCTTTTCATGTAATCAGTTACGTTAATGAACGTGTAACCATACGGAGACGGCCGGAAGATCACGGAATGCTTCGGAATATTTATGAAGTGTAACCATAATGGGGTGGGGGTTGCAGACAACCCAAAACTAGAGTGCCCTTAACGTTAATACTTACAGTAAGCCCAGCTCTCTTCAGATCAAGGATACAGGCACGTGCAAGCTCAGTGCAGTCCACTTTCATGGAAAAACGTGCCAATTCCAGAATCAAAGGAATCCTTCAAAAATAGAAAAAACATCACCTCAGAGAATCCAATACTGCTCTTTTGTGGAATGAGAAGAACACTGCATCAGAGTAACTGTGCAATAGATCTGCAAACCTGGAACTCATCCAAATGTCAGGGGACATGATTATACTAGCGATGCTTATGGTTAACAAGGAAAAAGGAGACAGGTTAAAGTTGGCTACGGGAAAAACCCAGTGATGTAACTGCTGGAAGAGAGCTCCATTTAGTCTGCATTCCAAAATTATGCTGAAGAATTGGAAAGGGTGCCAAGAAAAGCCAAAAATCAGGTCTGAAAAGCACTTGTTCATTCTAAGGCCTTTTAACAAATCCCATTTTATCAAGAAAGGGCTGTGGGAAGATTTAATCCTGTCATCCAAATGGTTCTAGGGAAGAAGATATTTAATCTTGAGTTCTTTGGTAAAGCCTAATAGGACCTTTGTCTTTGTTTAAGACGATGTAAGCATTAACACAACACAAACTTTGTAACTAATCACAAGCTCATTCTCCTCACGGTGAACATGAATTTGGAGACTGCAGCGGCAGGATCAGCTTCAGCATCAACTTGCACAGCTGACAAGTAAAACTCACTTGACACCAGGAGGCAATGCTGGGGGTCCATCCCACTGTCTCAAAAGCACATACACAGAATTGAGATGTGCGGCAGCATCACTGGGAAATTCATGTGTGTCCCACTGCCTGCAACACAGTGGGACTTGATCAGGATTTTTCATAAGAAGTATTACTGCATTCAAAATTTGAAATAACCTCCCGAACTTCAGAATGGGTGGCCCTTAGTCCAACGGATCAGTGGGATACCCGGACTTTGAAATACCAAATAAAAAAAAAAATCAAGTCAACAAAACCTGCTTCAATATGCCGAGGAAGTCACTCGGAGACAGCCAGATACAAGGCACAGAGAACATTCCAGCACAAGAATTAATAGTCCAGACAGTAAATATAGTTGCAGAAGCAAAGACCAATGGTCTGCAAAACTCCCTTCCTATAACGCCAACATAAACTAATCCCCGTTACTTGGAAAAGAACTAATTCTTTTAAAGTGATGAAGTGATGAGGCATTGGGAAAAAAAAGGTCTCATTCTGAAGTCTGGCTTTCAAAAGTTTTATGCCTCTGCAAGTTTAAGACGCGTTATGCTTCCTCTCCTTGCGGTTCATGCATCATGTTTCAGGTGTGATTTCCCCACCTCCTCTGTACCCTTTTATACACAACTTGTGTGCTGAACCACAACCTCTTGGAGACAACAATGTCTCTCAGTCTCTGTAATTCCTTCACCGGTGTGTATCTGAGCAGCACCCCGTCCCCACGCTCCCCAGAACCTGCTCACTTCCCAGCTGAGGCTGTTCTCTGGACAGGCCGCACAGCCCCTACCCAAACTGGTGTTACAGTTCTCCTTCAGAGACACGGATCTCTGCAGTGGGTTTTGGTACTGGCATGAGGGATGCCAGAACCTGAGCCCAGCTCTGTAACATCCAGCACTGAAGTACAAATGGAAGGATATGTTAATACTTACAATTTTAGCATCTGCATTTTGTAAATAACTGAAAGATGGATGGAATTTTGTATTTCTTTCTCTACCTGGGAAATATCCATTAGTTTGTGATACACCTATGAAATAACAATTTCATAATTAATTGGCTGCGTAAGCAAACACAGGAGAGACATGAAAAGGGATAAAATAAAGCAGGTATGTTGACTGCAGGCTTTTTCATGGACTTCAGGAGCAGCAAGGCTACAACAATATTCCCTGCTGTTCTGCATAGATACCAAAAAGGTTGCTGAGCAGAGCTACACGGATTCTCACAGAGTGAGGATCAGAATTACTGGCAGAAATCTGAGTGTTGAACTAACATCTGAGTTAGAATTCTGATTAATGCCTGTTCAGCAACGCATCTCGATAGAACTCGTTCTGACATCAGCTCATCCAGCTACGAGACAGGAGCCCTCATCAAACTGATCTGTAACTATAAATACATATAACAAAAATATTATTAAGAAGTTACAACAAACTGTAGTTACTTCAGTGTAACTGAGAGTTACACGTCACACGTGTGCACACCAGCTGTCCCGACTGCCTCACACCGAGCGCCCACAGCGGTCAGTACGGACCAGGCTGCACTCAGCAATGGGGTTGGCAGGACTGAGGCATGCTGCTCCCAAAGCACCCAGCAGTGCGGGTCATACGCCTGCAGCCCTGCTGACGCCGCTTGAGCACAGTTGAAGAGCTACTTTATTCTGCTGTTTAAGGCCACTGTCAAACAGCTTTCTGCAACACCACCTCTAAGAAATACAGAGGTCATTCTGAAGTTGCCTAAAAGGCACTGCTTCATTAATGTGGCACCTCTGGAAGGCTGTGTATTGGTTCTCTTAACCCAAAGGGTAGAGAACTCAATATGATAAACAAAAGCCCTTGAAGTGCAGAGATAGGGGAGGGGACAGAAAGAGACGACAGGCAGTTCAGCAGAAGGAAAGCAAACACGACTGCATGCAACTGCCAAGGTTTATCTGCCAATTTCTGCTTGTGACACATTCAGCTTCAGCCTCTGATTTCCCAAATTAAGGGCATGCAAGAAACATGAACTACTGTCATATGCTCCAATTCCCAGAGCTGTCTGTAGAGGTCAGGTTGGGTCATTTAAGTATTTATCAGCATGAGAAAAGTCAAAAGACGCTAGAGATGCCCTCAGTGGCCTAAGGCAGGGTAAGTTGCATCCACTACACCTGCTGTGTTGATAGCAATGATGCCCAGAGTTTTCAGGGTTAGCACCAGCTGTCCCGCCGATATTACATGGTAGTAAACTAACAGGGAACAGCAGGCTGCACTCTGGCTTACACTATCAAACCACCCAAGCTGTAAAAAACTCTGCATAAGCACTGTATCGTTTGGTTGCTCACAAAACTCAAACGAAGGAAACAACATGTTTAACAATTATAACTGCTCTCATGAAATGCAGAGAAAGCTCCTGTCCTACTGGGAGTTTAAAGTATTGTAGAGCATTACCATTAGAGAAAATATTTGGGAGTATTTATCTGGAACGTCTTCCTTAATGAAGATTGCTGCAGTGGACGAAAACTCTTTCGCTTCTTCCAGCTTTGAAGCATCGATGAAGCACTCAAGTAAATTCCTGCAGATCAAATAAATATTTGTCTTAAATAGTCAGTAACACTTTCTGAAACAATTATTTATTTCAAGAGCCTCTCCACCTTCAAGGAATCACTCCTGAGCGGAGGAGCAGCGGTTAGTGCCGTAAAGCACTGACTCAACATCTCAGAGATCCTCTACGTCTTTGCTGAGCCCAGAGACAAACAGCTGTTAATGTACATATACTGCAGGTCACAACAAAATCTTGGAAAAGGAGGTTTTTGTGAAGAAACGTCAGCAGGGCCCCTGGAATTAAAATGATTCATTATCTAAAGCTGTATAAGGAAAACATTTCTGTGAGAGGCATTCTAAGAGTCTCCCTCAGCTACTGGAAAGGCCAGGATCCCAAAGCCATGGAGCAAAAGAAAACGATTCATGTTGGGAACTGCAACCTATTTATGGACTTTTCAACACGTCATTTGATTTAACTGAAAAAGAGGCTGCAATTCCAGGAAATAAATTAACAACAACAATAATAAATATTTTTAACAGCACAAATCTAAGTACCATTAGTTTCCTGACACCGTGCACTCGTCATTCCCATCAATGACTGTAGTAGCACGTGTGGGGCAAAACCTGAGGCGTGCTATTCCGCACAACCTTCCGCACACTCCACAGCATGTTTTGTTACTTATTTTTTTATTTATAAAGGAAATGCTGCACAGCAACAAACCACCAGCCACAGAACGAAGAAATAGCAAAGTTCACAAAGAGAAAGGAAAAATCTGTGGCAGAAGTGAAACAAGAAGTGGAACTGTCTGGAGAACAGCAGCAATATCCACTGCTAAGGATTATGACTAGAATTACTAATTTCAGTTCGTGTAAATGACACTAGACATGCTTTTCAAAAGTCCACATGCAGAAAAACCTATGTATTTCCTAAATAAAACATGAAATTGTCTGCCAAGCATCAGTTGTGACAGACAAAGGTGGAAGGCATTGTTATCCAACCTACGTTACTAACCAACCTACTATCCAACGTTACTACTATCTACTACTATCCAACGTTACTATCCAACCTACGTTACTAATCTCTTCCCTAAAAGTTATTAGACTTTTAATTCTAAATATTTTGCATAATACTTAAAGATATTGTGAGAATTCACCTTGTTGGGAGGTTTAACACTCAAATAACAATCTGTTTTCCTTCACTAATTCCCAGAAAGAAAACCTGTTGGTTTAAATCTTAATAGCATTATTTATGCAAATTATTCTCCTTTTCGTAACTTTTGGGCTCTTATTTTGCATAAGACTGGTTAAAAAAGACCTATTTCATTTATGCTTTGAGACATCAGGCCAAGCAGCATAGCCAAAGGAGCAGGGACAGCCTTTAATTTAATACTGAAGAAAACTGGATATAATACTAATTGGAAAGGAAAAAGCTTGATCTAAACTAATGACATGGGTGAGACGCACTCGGTACCACGTTGTACATGAAAGCACGTGACTGACACAAAACCCACATCACTGCTGATGACAACCCATCTCTGTGTTCTTAACTGCTGTATTGGTAATACAAATCCTTCTTTCGCTCACTGTTTTTTCATGACATTTCAGTTCAACATACAGTTAAGGGCTAACAAGGGGAAAATGTAGTAAGAAAGGTAACTTAGGTCAATATATACAAAACCTGCATAATGAAGAAGGAGGCAATTAGAAAGTATTCTGACTATGTTCTCACAGCCTTATCAGGTTGTTTCTTTGTCTTCAGGGATCAGAGGACAAGAGATCATTTTTTATCTATTCAATGGTTATGTTTCTTTACCTGCAGAAAATAGTTCTTAGACAAACTCATGTTTGTTTCCTCACTCCAAAGGACCGCACACAAGCCAGGACTCCAACGCGCCACCCCAAGTGACTGATACTTCAGACGGAGCCTCGGGCCTACCTGCCTCTACCACTAGGGTTTTAACTTCAAAGTAAATATTAAAATGAAGCACCTTTTCCATTAAGTGTACATTTATCTATCTTTAAGAAGTTACTAATTAAGCTTTCCACAATAAACATAGCTACTAAGTTACCAGTGAGATACACCTCATTAAAGACCACCTCAGGCAGCAGTCACATGTACAAGAGGCCTCGCAGAATGCCCATGTAAAAAACCCACAAACTTACACCATGAGTTCTGCTCTCCATTCTCTGTCTGGCTCTTCAGCTTGGTTTAACGCTTTAACAATCTGAGCAAGGCTGGGAATAAGGCAATAGCGGAACCCAGGCTGAAGAAATGGCCTCACAAGTTGCCAATAAAGAACTGAGGCATTATATAGCAAAAAATAGTACCTGAAAAACAAGAATCAAGAATTTAGTATTTCATGGACAGAGATAAACATAAAAATACAGATGGAGTATTTTAAGACACTTGGAAGAATGAAAACTGACACCTTCCCTGTGTTTACATGAGAACCAACCCTGACTGAGAACAGCAGTACAGCACAAGAAGAATGCGATAACCTGTGCAACTACGCTCTACCCAGTAATTAACCACTTAAAATGAGCCAACATGGTGCTCTCCCCCTGCACGGTGTAACTATAAAAGGAGAAGAAATGCTCAGCAATACCTTCAACCCTTAACCAGGCCGGTTCATCCCATCTGTGTCAGACAGTTCATTATTTCGACGTTGCTGCAGCAGGCACAGCAGCTACAGGAGTGCAGTACCAAAACGGAAGAAAAACCCTCAGAAGCAGAAAAACCTCCAACACCACAAGCTCAGATTTCCTAGTAAAATCTGAGAGAAGCAACTACGAAAACCTAACCCAGTCCCATTCCTGGGGTTTAAAGAGTTGACCCTGTCAGTGGGGCCTACCTTCGATCATGGGTGGCAAACTCTATGGCCTTCATGAAAAACAGCACAAACTGTTCAAACTCCTCCTAGAACAGAAAACCCAACTGTTAATGCAGTTTGAATATGGCTGTTGTAAATCACATTATTTTCTTATGTCAGTATGTTCACATCTCATCATTTCTATTTTCAGACCAATCTCAAATAAAACAGGCTGCCATAGAAACCAAGTAACTAAATATCAGTAGCATTGCCTACTATGTTCTCCTGATTTCAAACTTTAGGATTGTACTTTCAGTTCCTTTCCCTTCTGCCAAACTTTAATTATCAGGACTGAAATTCTCCAAAATGGCAAACGGGAGGTGGAACCGGATGGCCAGGAAGGAGGTGACGCCAGCCTGCTCTCTGTCATGAGACAGAACAGAAGAGCTAAAAACTCCGGGGGAGTTGGGACTGATTTACTGGACTCTGGGACTGTCATAGGAAGGCTACCGAGTAATGAGTGGGAACTCCTCAGATAAAGAGAAAACTAGGATGAAGAGCCCGAGAGGTATTAGATACTACAGCGGGAAAGTTACGCTGGGCCCTTCCGAACACCAGCATGTTGCTCAGCTGACAAGGATTCCTCGGGATGGGAACCAAAGTAAGAACAACTTTGGCTGCTCTAGGTGAGTGACGATGCCTAGTCAAACAGCACAAGACGGCGTGCCACTCCTCTTTCCATCAGTGGTGTAGGAGCACAGCAGTGCAAGAGACATGCAACTGGTACAAAGCCCTTTGCAACCACAGCACAGGGGGACCACGCTTGTTTAACGTACAAACATGAAACTGGACATTATAAACCACTTCTCATATGTGCCTCTGATGAGTTGTTCTGCACCTGCACTCAGAGACAGCATCGATCATGTAAGGGGGAAAAGACTCCAGCTTGAAGGTTCATCCAAACATATTATTCAAAGAAACTACAGCAACATCTGTCAGGGAAATATGTCACCATGAATAACAAACATCTGGTAAGGCCACTTTCGGGGTCAGATATCACTGGCCAGTTACCACAGCTGACTGACCACATATGGCAGAAAACAGACCCCATGCCACAGTCAATTCTGCAGGAGGCAAAACCTGCTCCTCTGGTAGGGACGCGGGGCAGGAAGAGACAAAAGCTGCAGAAGCAGATGTATCCTGCTAAGCTGCTACCAGAAAGCTTCATCCCAGTTCCAACAAGCCACATGCACAGCATCGCACGGCCACACACCATTGGCCAGCAAGGTGAGCACGCTGCCAGACAGAAACCAGCCCCCAAGCCTGCAGGGGCCCTTCAGTCCTCCACTCCCAGAGCCTGTGAAACACTTGGCATGACCCTGAACAGAACTGGTAACTGTCTTACCAGTCATCAGTCAATTTTGTCTGAAAGTACCACACTGATGTGAAAAGGGAAAAGGTTAACGTTCAAACAATGCACTGTCAGCAAGGTTTTCCATGCATTCTTTTTTCCCTCCCCAAAGTATCTGCAATGCCAGTCTAATTCAGCTTGGAAGTTTTGTTCACCCCCAAACTACCCATTAATACATTTTCCTTCATTTTTCCCACGGTTCTGATTAAATTCCTGCATTTTAGATGACTAAAAGCAATGCATAAAAATCTAGGAAGAAATAATCTTAAAAACTGGCTTAATATAATGCAACCATCATCATTGCTCACCAAATTATCTGTGGAGAGTGGAGTGTGCAGCTGGCCTTGGCACAAGTACGCTCTGCCAAGAAACTGGTTCACAGGAAACCTTCCTTTAAAATACATCTGCAGACAGTCACTGCTCATCTCCAGCTCCCCCAACTGAGATCAAAAAAAGCATTTGCATATTTAAATAATGCAACAAATACTTCATTAAGAATTGTTAGGTTTGCAGAATGCTTGCCTGCTCAAAGTGTACCACCCAACTGCACGCCAGCCTGCAAACAGCATCTCAGGTGTGCGGTACAAATGCACTGAGGTTCATCAGAATGTGAAGGAATACTTTCATCATTGCAAATGTGCAGAAAAACAGCTCCTTTGTTTAACAAAGCCCTTCAGTCGCTCAGTCACAGCAAATGTTCCCTTGTTCCATCCCCACTAACCGGATTGTTAGCATAAAGGCAACGCTCTTAGTAGAATTCTTTTTGTTAAAGGATGGCTATTAGCCTACAGGATTCCAGGTGGATGTCAGTGCTGCACCCCAATTTTCAGACCACAGGCAGAATTTGAGTGGCCTGCAGCTTGGGAAAGAAGAGCTGTATTAGAAACTGTCTGCTGGAAATCCACTCACTTGTACCCAGAGATTGAAAATGAAAAGATACTTCAAAATTCAGAACTCCTATCACACCATGTTTTATAGAAGTCGGGGCAGTTAGCAACGATCTTTCATAATCAGAATGCGACCTCAGTAGGGACCGGTCTCAAACACATTTTCTTCAGCCATAACCAAATTGCTGATGGTAGTTTTCCATAACAAGAAATATGGTATGGCATCTTATTTTACATCACCATGGGATACCTGGACATGGTGGTGGGGTGGCCCTGGCTGGAGGAAGGTGCCCACCAAGTCACCCTGTCGCTCCTCTCCTCAGCTGGACAGGGGAGAGAAAATACAACACAAATAAAAGGCTCGAGGTAGGGACAGGGAGCGCTTATTCAGCAGTTCATTATGGGCAAAACTGACTCAGCTTGGGGAAAAATTACCTGATCAGTCAAAATCAGAGTAAAAAGAGAACTAAAACCAATTCTTAAAGCACCCTCCCCTCTACCCCCCTTCTTCCCAGGCTCAAATTCCCTCCGTGGGGTGCCATCCTTCAGGAGCAGCTGCTCCAGCCTGGGCCCCTCCTGGGTCACCAGTACTGCCAGCAAACCTGCCCCAGCC